CCACCCAATCCCCCTCCCCACCCCCCTCACCAGCAGGTTGACGGCCTCGATGACGTCGATGAACACCTCGTTCTTCTTGTAGCGGATTCCCTCGGAGCGCCAGGACACGGCGTTGGTCACCGTGCTGGGCACCCGCCACCGGCCCGTGTCCAGCTTGTTCCCCTCCTGCGTGATGTACCTGAGGGGGTCCTCCCGTCACCGGGGGGGGGGGCTCTGGGGAGGACCCCCGCCCCCTCCGGAGACCCCTCCCCACGCTCACTCCTGCAGGATTTTGCTGTCGGTGGTCTGCGGGAAGCCGAAGTCCATCAGCTCGTCCAGCAGCTCGTAGACGATGACGAAGTTGTCGCGGACGCTCTCCTCCTCCAGCTCCTTGAAATACTCACAGAACACCTGAGGAGGGGGCACAGCTGTCAAACCCCCTCCCCAAATTCGGGTGACCCCTGAGACCCCCATGACACCCCCTCCCCAAATTCGGGCGATCCAGACCCCCCCCGAGACCCCCAACTCACCTCCAGCTCCTTGAAATACTCACAGAACACTTGGGGAGGGGGCACAGCTGTCAAACCCCCTCCCCAAATTCGGGTGACCTCCCCCCCCTGAGACCCCCATGACACCCCCTCCCCAAATTCGGGCGATCCAGACCCCTCTGAGACCCCCAACTCACCTCCAGCTCCTTGAAATACTCACAGAACACCTGGGAGGGGGCACCTCTGACACCCCCTCCCCAAATTCGGGTGACCCTGAGACCCCCAACCCACCTCCAGCTCCTTGAAATACTCACAGAACACCTGGGGAGGGGGCACCTCTGTCAAACCCCCTCCCCAAATTCGGGCGATCCAGACCCCCCCCGAGACCCCCAACTCACCTCCAGCTCCTTGAAATACTCACAGAACACCTGGGGAGGGGGCACCTCTGACACCCCCTCCCCAAATTCGGGTGACCCTGAGACCCCCAACTCACCTCCACCACCTTGTAGAGGAAGGAGAAGACCAAGGACGCGTTCCCGTTCTTCTTGGTGGTGGCCACCACTGGGAGGAGGGGGGGGTCAAGGAAAAGTGGGGAGGGGCCTTGGGGGGTCCCGAGGGGTCCTGGGGGGGTCTCAGGGGGTCTCGGGGGGTTTCAGGGGGTCCGGAAGGATACGGTAGAGGTTGGCGTGTTTGATCCAGAGGAAGTGGACGTGGCCGTAGGTCAGGACGGGAGTGAGGGTCCCCTCCTCCTCCCGCTGCAGCAGGACCCCCATGAAGTTCTCGATCTCCCCCAGCCCCACGTCCCCCTTGTAGTTGCGGCTGATCAGAGGCTGGGGAGGGGGCGGCGGGTCAGAAATGGGGAGACCCCCGCCCCAAAATCGCTCGCCCCCACCGTGAGGTCACGGGGTCACCACCGCTGACCTTGGATGACCTTCAAGGGGTGGAGGGGACAGGGGGGTGTCCCCCACCCCGGACACCCCCCTGGGGACCCCCGGTGGGGTTTGGGGGTGGTCGTGGAGAGGGCGGGGAGGGGGTGTCACACACAGAGGGGGGTCACACACCCCCTGCCCCCCCAAAGAAACCCTCGGGGGGTCACGGGGGTCACCGCCGCTGACCTTGGCTGACCTTCAAGGACAGAGGGGACAGGCGGGTGTCCCCCGGGGTGGGTTTGGGGGGTGGTCTCGGGGGTGGGTGGGGGTCTCACCTTCCCCTTCAGGTCCAGGATGAAGAGGGCGGAGGCGGCCATGGCGCCCGCGCGGCGCCGTCACCTCCGGCACCGTCACCTGCCCAGGTGAGCGGCTGCGCCCACGCCTCGTGGGGCCTTAAAGGGGACGGAGCCTGCCCCAAGGACCCCCCACCCTGGGCGGGGGTCCCACCCCGGAGCTCGGGGAGACCCCCCCCCCCCAGGCTCGGCCACTCCACGGGGGCTCCAGCTCGAGCTCGCGGTTTTGGGGTGGGGGGCACAAGGTGGGACCCCCAAGGCCTTTGGATGGGGGTGGGTTTGGGAGCGCTGGGGATTTGGGAGGGGGTCTTTGCACCCCCAAACTCTCCCTCCTGGGGGGTCTCTGATTCCTGTGTTCACCACCCTGGGGGTCGCTGCACCCTCGTGAGGGGTCTCCACACCCCCCCCCCATC